GTGTGTGTGTGTGTGTGTGTGTGTGTGGAGTCTCTCCACCAGAGGGTGTGTGTGTGTGTGTGTGTGTGTGTGGAGTCTCTCCACCAGAGGGTGTGTGTGTGTGTATGTGTGTGTGTGGAGTCTCTCCACCAGAGGGTGTGTGTGTGTGTGTGGAGTCTCTCCACCAGAGGGTGTGTGTGTGTGTGTGTGTGTGTGGAGTCTCTCCACCAGAGGGTGTGTGTGGAGTCTCTCCACCAGAGGGTGTGTGTGTGTGTGTGTGTGTGTGTGTGGAGTCTCTCCACCAGAGGGTGTGTGTGTGTGTGTGTGTGTGGAGTCTCTCCACCAGAGGGTGTGTGTGTGTGTGTGGAGTCTCTCCACCAGAGGGTGTGTGTGTGTGTGTGTGTGTGTGTGTGGAGTCTCTCCACCAGAGGGTGTGTGTGTGTGTGTGGAGTCTCTCCACCAGAGGGTGTGTGTGTGTGTGTGGAGTCTCTCCACCAGAGGGTGTGTGTGTGTGTGTGTGTGTGTGTGTGTGTGGAGTCTCTCCACCAGAGGGTGTGTGTGTGTGTGTGGAGTCTCTCCACCAGAGGGTGTGTGTGTGTGTGTGTGTGTGGAGTCTCTCCACCAGAGGGTGTGTGTGTGTGTGTGTGTGTGGAGTCTCTCCACCAGAGGGTGTGTGTGTGTGTGTGTGTGTGTGTGTGTGTGTGTGTGGAGTCTCTCCACCAGAGGGTGTGTGTGTGTGTGTGGAATCTCTCCACCAGAGGGTGTGTGTGTGTGTGTGGAGTCTCTCCACCAGAGGGTGTGTGTGTGTGTGTGTGGAGTCTCTCCACCAGAGGGTGTGGTTGTGTGTGTGTGTGTGTGTGTGTGTGTGGAGTCTCTCCACCAGAGGGTGTGTGTGTGTGTGTGTGTGTGTGGAATCTCTCCACCAGAGGGTGTGTGTGTGTGTGTGTGTGTGGAGTCTCTCCACCAGAGGGTGTGTGTGGGTGTGTGTGTGTGTGTGGAGTCTCTCCACCAGAGGGTGTGTGTGTGTGTGTGTGTGTGTGTGTGTGTGTGTGTGTGGAGTCTCTCCACCAGAGGGTGTGTGTGTGTGTGGAGTCTCTCCACCAGAGGGTGTGTGTGTGTGTGTGTGTAGAGTCTCTCCACCAGAGGGTGTGTGTGTGTTTGTGGAGTCTCTCCACCAGAGGGTGTGTGTGTGTGTGTGTGTGTGTGTGTGTGTGTGTGTCGAGTCTCTCCACCAGAGGGTGTGTGTGTGGAGTCTCTCCACCAGAGGGTGTGTGTGTGGTGTGTGTGTGTGTGTGTGTGTGTGTGTGTGTGTGTGTGTGGAGTCTCTCCACCAGAGGGTGTGTGTGTGTGTGTGTGTGTGTGTGTGTGTGTGTGTGTGTGTGTGTGTGTGTGTGTGTGTGTGTGTGTGTGTGTGTGTGTGTGGAGTCTCTCCACCAGAGGGCGTGTGGAGTCTATCCACCAGAGGGTGTGTGTGGTGTGTGTGTGTGTGTGTGGTTGCCCCGCCCTCGTCATCAGAGAAGAGATGCTGCAAGAGGAAGTTATTCTGAAGATTATTAACACAATTATGATGATGTGCACCCATAATTAATTTACAATAAACACTGCAATACTTCATAAGGAAACTATAATGGTCTCTTGATTTCATGATGACTGTGTGTGTTTCTCGCAGGCCGTCCAGTCCGATGCTGTCCTTCAGGGTTCTGCTGACGGAGGCGAGCGTGGCGCTCTGTGATGACATCACCAGCCGGTCCGGATCAGTGGAGCTGCTGCGTCTCACCGTCTCTAAACTCCTGCTCCTGCTGCCGGCCATCGACGCTCCACCCGACGCTCCACCCGACCACACCGTACACACCGTACACACCGTACAGGTGCTCTGCGGCGGCCTGCAGCTGGACAACCAGCTGTACCAGCGCGCCAGCTTCCACTTCCCCGTCATCATGTGCCAGGAGCCGCCGGGCGACCCCGCGCTGACCCCGGGCGACCCCGCGCTGACCCCGCTGGAGTTCTGCCACGCCTGCTTCTTCTCTCTGAGCCTCACGGTCTCCGGCTCCGGACAGCTGGACCGGCTCTCGCTGCGCATCCGCCCGGCGCGCGTGTATCTGGAGGACACCTTCCTCTACTACATGAAGACGCTCCTCCACACCTACATCCCAGAATGCACCCTGCCTGTGCGTGGCGAAGGGGCGGGGCTCCCGCGGGAGGTGCTGGAGTCGATGCGTGCGCTGGTGACGCCGCTACGCCTGCAGAAGCTCTCGATCGAACCCCTTCAGCTGCTGCTCTCCATCCACGCGTCTCTGAAGCTCTACATCGCCTCCGACCACACGCCGCTGTCCTTCTCGCTGTTCGAGCGCGGCCCCGTCTGCACCACCTCACGCCAGCTCGTACACACACTCGCCATGCACTACGCCGCCGGCGCGCTCTTCCGGGCAGGTGCGTCTCTCACACACACACACACACACACACCTGAGAACTGAACATCCGTGAGCTTCCGTTCGTGACCGAAACGAGTCGACAGATGCGTCACTCTATAGTCACTGTGTTTCAGATAAATCAACATGTGCTGATGTGTGTGTGTGTTTGTGTGTGTGTGTGTGTGTGTGTGTGTGTAGGTTGGGTCGTCGGGTCTCTGGAGATTCTCGGCAGTCCCGCCAGTCTCGTTCGGAGTATCGGGAATGGCGTGTCAGATTTCTTCCGGTTGCCGTACGAGGGTTTGACTCGCGGGCCGGGAGCCTTTATCAGCGGCGTCTCGAGAGGAACCAACTCGTTCATCAAACACATCTCTAAAGGTGAAGCACACACACACACACACACACTCACACTCACTCTGTCTGTAATATTGACCGTCTCCATCTGCTATTAAGTTGGGTGTTAGTACTGAACGAACAAACCTGTGTTGTAGAGGCCTGCATTTCAGCCCGACGGGCCCCGACTTATTTACGCTCCTAGGGCCAATTTTCACGTCATAGTTCACACGCGGGCCGGGCCTCGGGCCTGTTTTAGGCTTATCTTTTTTATAGCCTATTTTAGACATTAATTAAAATGAAATATGACAAGATGACGATTGAAAAGCAAACATAGAAAGACGTTTTATAACCTATCACACTGACACGACTGACACATCAGTCTGCTCACGCACACGCACAGGTTTCCCGGCGGCGCGATCTGAGAGTCGCGTGACCGGTTCTGTGTTTAGTGTCCCGGTGGCGAGCGTGACTTCAGCGCAGCTGGAAAAAGTACGACTGGATTAAAACCTTAAAACCTACATGGAGATCTCTACATCTCCATGTAGAGATCACGACCTCCACTAACCTTCCCAAAACACCCTAGCTCTACAACGGCAAGAACTACTCGCATTTTCTTTAGAAAATGTCCCGGATGATTTGATTCTCCTGCTGCGTTTTGTATCTGCAGCTCAGTGCAGATGTTGACGTTTAGCTCAAACAGAAGAGCGTAGGCGCTTGCAACACCGCGGTCATGGGTTCGATTCCCAGGGAAAGCAAGAACTGAGAACTGATAAGAATGTAAAATCTGTACCTTGAAATGCAATGTAAGTCGCTTTGGATAAAAGCGTCTGCCAAATGTTAATGTAATGTGTGTGTCTCTCACTGGCCAACACGTCTGTGTGTGTGTGTGTGTGTGTGTGTCTGTCTACAGGGACTCTGACGTCCATCACCAATCTGGCCACGAGTCTGGCGCGGAACATGGACCGTCTGTCGCTGGACGACGAGCATTACATGCGTCAGGAGGAGTGGAGGAGGCAGCTGCCGGAGACTCTGGGAGACGGGCTGAGACAAGGCCTGTCCAGACTGGGCATCAGCCTGCTGGGTGAGACACACACACACACACACACACACACACACACGAGTGCTTTATACAACACAGATCATTAACCCTAACCCTGCTGGGTGAGACACACACACACACACACACACACACGAGTGCTTTATACAACACAGATCATTAACCCTAACCCTGCTGGGTGAGACACACACACACACACACACACACACACGAGTGCTTTATACAACACAGATCATTAACCCTAACCCTGCTGAGTGAGAGACACACACACACACACACACACACGAATGCAGTCCGCTTCTGCAGCGCTGTATACAACACAGATCATTCACAGCAACCTCACAGTGATCAGCAGGACAATTACAGAATAAAGGATGTGTGTGTGTGTGTGTGTGTGTAGGCGCGGTCGCAGGAATCGTGGATCAGCCCATGCAGACGTTCACACGGACGCTGGATCTGCCGAGCTCGGCGAGCAGCACGGCCCGCGGCGTCATCTCAGGGGTGGGGAAAGGCATTGTGGGAGTTTTCACCAAGCCAATCGGAGGAGCAGCTGAGCTGGTGTCGCAGACGGGATACGGTATGAGGCGTTCATGCACACGCGCGCAGGACAGTGTGTTGATGTGCTGGTGTGCAGTGACCCGTGTGTGTGTGTGTGTGTGTCGCAGGTCTGCTGCACGGCGCGGGTCTCTGGCAGCTTCCCAAACAGCTGCACCCGCCGACAGACTCCAGATCAGCCGACGCCTCCAACAGCCACGTCAAATACGTCTGGTAAACCAACGCTTCATTCACAACCGGGACCCAAAAACGTCGCAGGTTACGACATGTTCCCTGAGAACAGGGAACTCGCACTGCGCCGCACTGATGACGCTATGGGGGAACACCTCCGCGTGAGCCGGTGTCTGAAAAGCTTATATTTAATCACGGCAATCGATATTGACACATACAGGCTGTCACTGACGGCATTCCCTACGGCCACTGCCCGAGCTATAAGCCTCAAAGACGCCTCCGATACAGCGAAAGCCTGCCAAGGCCGCTCAAGGGCGAGGAACCAACAGCTTCCGTGGAAAGGGTTCCTTTAAGGGAATATGGCCAGGGGGCCCGAAGGAGTCCAGTCACTTTCTGAGGGGGACTAAAGTCAACCCCACATGCCACCAGGGAGGCTGACCTGGTCTAACTCGCCTTTGGCTAAGCCTCACCCTAGAATGTAGATTGGCCAATCACAGCGCACCCAAGAACGAGCTCCCACAGAGGTCTGACACTTTTTCACAGCGCTCCATTGACTTTAACACAGGCGTCTCATATTTTTGGTCTCGGCAGGCTATTACCGTCGTAGTTTTATCAAAAATATGGTTAAAGTTGTGCCTGGGGCATTTGTAACACAGATACGCGTTTCCCAGAGAGGTTGGAGGGGGGTGTGCGTTTTTTCCCCTTCCCAAACCAAAGTCAAATCCTGACAGGTGTCGTCTTTGGATTAAACTGTGTGTACGTCCTCACAGTCAGCTAAACCCCTCAAGGATCAACAAGCACACTTTTTGCTAATCAAAACTTCACCTTGTCAGTTAACGTTACCTAGCATACCAGTTGTTAATACGCTAGCACACGCTGCTAATAAATACAACGTTATACTTGCGTAGTCCGTTTGCTTTGTAATAACGATTATAGAAGTGAATAGAGACCTCCAGCTCTGCATGAACAGTGTTGCTCCGCCTCCATTAGGAGGATATGCGGTGGGTCATTTGTTGGCTGTGACCGATATGCTTTTGCCTCTATTTGGATGCCTTGTTGTTCCTTGCGTTTCACCTGTATGTCGTGAATATAGCCTTCGAACGTATATTGCAGCCGCTTTTGCCTACTTCTATCGGACACTTTATTTGCTGCTTTATAAAAGTTTGATAAAATTTCAGCAGGAAGAGCTGTCACATATAAGCCATGTGGATACCAAACCAGAGCCCAGATGAAGTTTGTCGGACGTAGCAACAGTAACTAAGGGGGGTGGGGCTTAGCCAAAGGTGAATTTACTGACCAAGTCTTGCCAACAACCTGTCTGTTTCCTAAACAGAGTCTCTAACATTATCTGCCTCACTTGTGGAGGCGTCCGATAGTGCAGATAGTGGCAGTGATCGCTCGCAGACCGGATCAGAGACGGGTGTCCTGGAGAGGAACGAGGGGAGTGACTCTACTCGATCCTGGATCTACACAGTGCTTCAGGCCCATTTCTGTGGGCCTGGTTATACTTATTTAACATAGCCAACAGGCAGTGTACTCAGCAGAACTGCTATTGGCCCTTTAAAGCAAGGGGAGTACAATCTTCATCATACAACACCCCATCATCACAACTAACATACAGGCAGGGTGGCTGTGCGGGTTCGGGTTATAGATCCTCTTCACCCCATCAGCATCTCCTCTCTCTCAGATCAGAGGAACACCTCCTCATCCGGCAGCTCTCTCCCGCGAGCCTCCGAGGGCTGAGAGAGATGAACAACTCTCCCAAACTCCTCGGCGAGCTCCCTCTGAAACCCCAGTCTCTCGGGACCCGATCCGCCTGGCACAGATGCCCGTCCCTCTTCTCACAGTTGGCTTAAGCAGATCCCTCAAGAACTGATCGTGTGTGCTCTGAGCCCAAACATTAAACGCGGAGGCGTTCCCCAAAGCATCATCAACGCAGTGCAAGTTCCCTTTCGAAAGTGAACCTAAAAATTAGTTTATATTTCAATAATTGACCGACATTCAATGTTTTTCTTATGATTTAATACATTAGTATGTTATATTTTGATAGTTATTGTTGTAAAATTATTCATTTTATTTGACATTTGTATGATTTAATTCATTTTGTGAAACCCTGATTCTGAGGGTGATCGCCCAGAATGCCCTGCGACTCAGGCCGTGTGTGTGTGTGTGTGCAGGAAGATGCTGCAGTCTCTGGGCCGCCCCGAGCTGCACATGGCTCTGGATGTGTGTATGGTGAGCGGGTCGGGTCAGGAACACGCCGGCTGTCTGCTCCTGAGCGGAGAGGTTCTGTTCGTGGTCAGTGTGTGTGAGGACGCGCAGCAGCAGGCCTTTCCCATCACTGAGATCCAGTGTGAACACGACACACACACGCCTGGACGCATCACACTCACACTGCAGCAGCACCGTGTGACCAGTGACACAGAGGTACACACACACACACACACGTCTCTGCACATACCTGTGTCACAATACTATAGGTTATATTATTTGTTATATTTTTATTTGGCGCTCTTCAGGAACTCAACAGTAAGTTAACAGTAATTAACAAAAATAAGCACCAAATGAGAGGAAAAATTGCTGAAGAATTTTTGGTAAAACTTTTAAGGTCTGATTTATTGATGTTAGTTAATGCATCAACTAACATACACTAAAACTTTTCAGCATTTATTAACCGTTGTTAATGTTACCAAATGAAACAGTGTTATTTTAATATTATTGAGATAATATTATAGTTTTTATTAAAGGGTTAGTTCACCCAAAAATGAACCCAAAAAAGACCTTCGTTCATCTTCGGAACACAAATGAAGATATTTTTGATGAAATCTGAGAGCTGGATCACTCCTCCATAGGCTTCCTAAGGGAGTGACACTTGACGGCCCAGAAAGTCATTGAAGAAAATGTTTAAATAGTCTAAGTGACAACAGTGGCTCAACTACCCTTTTCTTCCTTGTGGGCCTGAGACGAGAGTTGAAAAGATTTCCACGACGCATGCGCGAGAACTGAACAAGAAGTAGTAGAAGAAGAACATCCTCTTCTCAGTTCTCGCGCATGCGTCGTGGAAATCTCTTCAACTCTCGTCTCAGGCCCACAAGGAAGAAAAGGAATAGTTGAAAAAAGTCGTTATTTTTGTTTGTTTTTCCGCACAAAAAGTATTCTCGTCGCTTGATAAACTTATAGTTGAGCCACTGTAGTCACTTAGACTATTTAAACATTTTCTTCAATGACTTTCTGGGCCGTCAAGTTTCACTCCCTTAGGAAGCCCTAACCCTAACCTCGTCTAACCCTATGGAGGAGTGATCCAACTCTCAGATTTCATCAAAAATATCTTCATTTGTGTTCCGAAGATGAACAAAGGTCTTACGGGGTTGGAACAACATGAGGGTGAGTAATTAATGACTTAATTTTCATTTTTGGGTGAACTATCCCTTTAATATTTTGAATCAGGTTTTATTTTTTCAATTTTTATTTTAATATTACATTTACTTTTATTAATTTAGTAGACGCTTTATCCAAAGCGACTTACAATTGAGAACAATAGAAGCAGTGAAACTAACAAAAGGACATTATGCAAGTGCTTAGACCCTTCCCAGTTTAATATAATGCAGTACGTGTACTAAAAAAAAAAAAATGATATAGAATAGAAGAGAAAGTGTTATATTAATGGATCAAGTGTTGCCGAAAAAGATGCGCCTTCAGCCGTTTCTTGAGAATGTCTAAAGACTCATCAGCTCTGGTTGAGTTAGGCAGATCATCCCTCCAGCAGGAACAGTTAACCCTAACCCAACCCTCTTAATAGTTTTTAAAAATATGTCTATATAGTTTTTGTTAATTTTTATTTCAGTTTCAGTTAAAATAAATAAATTTTGTTTAATTAATGCACTGTGAACCAGGGTTACATTTTATTTTATGTTAACAGATACATTTGATCCTAATAATGTAGTAGTAAATCTTGAAATTAACTCTTTCCATGCCATCGACAGAACTTTCCAGCACTCCATGTTTTCACTGTTATTACACATCTTCTGAAAGAGTTTATCTCTATGTCTCTCTCTCTCTCTTTCAATTTTCAATCGAGCTTTATAAGCTTGACTGTGTATCACAATGTTGCTAAAGCATAGATATATTATATATAAATAACAAAACACATATGTATAGATGATGTCTGTGTCTCAGGCCGACGGGTCTCGCGAGCGTCTCTCGGAGCTGCAGTACAGTCGGCTGGTGGAGTTCGTCACCGGAGCGTCTCAGTTTCTGTCTCCGTCTCAGTCGTCGCGTCACCAGCCGGCCGTCACTCCCGCGGATCCGCCGCCCACCGTCTCCAGAACATACCAGTATCACGCAGACCCGGCCTGCGCACGCGTGTTCGTCTGCAAGTTCACCATGGTGAAGAACAGAGCGCTGCGCATCGGCTTCCACTGACGCTCACATCACTTTATTGAGACCTCACTACATCAGCCAGAGCTGCTTTCTGTGTGAATGTGATGCTTTAAACCAAAAGAAGGCCTTTCATTTTTTTTTTTTTTTATAAGCAATGCAAGGAAGATGATTTACTGTTTTTTATTGTATTATTCGCTCCTGTATTCTGGTCTAATGAAAATATGAGTCTGTTGCTTCATAATGAATCTGCTTTTTGTAATAAAACATGGGATATTTGAAGATGTATCATCAGCTTGACATCAGTTGTTTGGTTGTGTGATCAGTGTGTTTGGTGTCTGCGGTGTTCAGGCTCGTCACTAGAGATTCAAACATTCACTGGAGATTCAAACATTCACTCGTCATTCACTGGAGATTCAAACATTCACTCGTCATTCACTGGAGATTCAAACATTCACTCGTCATTCACTGGAGATTCAAACATTCACTCGTCATTCACTGGAGATTCAAACATTCACTCGTCATTCACTAGAGATTCAAACATTCACTGGAGATTCAAACATTCACTCGTCATTCACTGGAGATTCAAACATTCACTCATCATTCACTGGAGATTCAAACATTCACTAGAGATTCAAACATTCACTGGAGATTCAAACATTCACTCGTCAGTCACTGGAGATTCAAACATTCACTAGTCAGTCATTCGAGATTCAAACATTCATTTGTCAGTCACTGGAGATTCAAACATTCACTCGTCAGTCATTCGAGATTCAAACATTCACTCGTCAGTCACTGGAGATTCAAACATTCACTCGTCATTCACTGGAGATTCAAACATTCACTGGAGATTCAAACATTCACTCGTCAGTCACTGGAGATTAAAACATTCACTCATCAGTCACTGGAGATTCAAACATTCACTCGTCATTCACTGGAGATTCAAACATTCACTCGTCAGTCACTGGAGATTCAAACATTCACTCATCAGTCACTGGAGATTCAAACATTCACTCGTCAGTCACTGGAGATTCAAACATTCACTCGTCAGTCACTGGAGATTCAAACATTCACTCGTCAGTCACTGGAGATTCAAACATTCACTCGTCAGTCACTGGAGATTCAAACATTCACTCGTCATTCACTGGAGATTAAAACATTCACTCATCAGTCACTGGAGATTCAAACATTCACTTGTCAGTCATTCGAGATTCAAACATTCACTGGAGATTAAAACATTCACTCATCAGTCACTGGAGATTCAAACATTCACTCGAGATTCAAACATTCACTCGTCAGTCACTGGAGATTCAAACATTCACTCGTCAGTCACTGGAGATTCAAACATTCACTCGTCAGTCACTGGAGATTCAAACATTCACTCGTCATTCACTGGAGATTCAAACATTCACTGGAGATTCAAACATTCACTCGTCATTCACTGGAGATTCAAACATTCACTCGTCATTCACTGGAGATTCAAACATTCACTCGTCAGTCACTGGAGATTCAAACATTCACTCGTCAGTCACTGGAGATTCAAACATTCACTCGTCAGTCACTGGAGATTCAAACATTCACTCGTCATTCACTGGAGATTCAAACATTCACTGGAGATTCAAACATTCACTGGAGATTCAAACATTCACTGGAGATTCAAACATTCACTCGTCATTCACTGGAGATTCAAACATTCACTCGTCAGTCACTCGAGATTCAAACATTCACTGGAGATTAAAACATTCACTCATCAGTCACTGGAGATTCAAACATTCACTTGTCATTCACTGGAGATTCAAACATTCACTTGTCAGTCACTCGAGATTCAAACATTCACTGGAGATTAAAACATTCACTCATCAGTCACTGGAGATTCAAACATTCACTCGTCATTCACTCGAGATTCAAACATTCACTCGTCATTCACTGGAGATTCAAACATTCACTGGAGATTAAAACATTCACTCATCAGTCACTGGAGATTCAAACATTCACTTGTCAGTCATTCGAGATTCAAACATTCACTGGAGATTAAAACATTCACTCATCAGTCACTGGAGATTCAAACATTCACTCGAGATTCAAACATTCACTCGTCATTCACTGGAGATTAAAACATTCACTCATCAGTCACTGGAGATTCAAACATTCACTCGAGATTCAAACATTCACTCGTCATTCACTGGAGATTCAAACATTCACTGGAGATTCAAACATTCACTCGTCAGTCACTCGAGATTCAAACATTCACTGGAGATTAAAACATTCACTCATCAGTCACTGGAGATTCAAACATTCACTGGAGATTAAAACATTCACTCGTCAGTCACTGGAGATTCAAACATTCACTCGTCATTCACTCGAGATTCAAACATTCACTCATCAGTCACTGGAGATTCAAACATTCACTCGTCATTCACTGGAGATTCAAACATTCACTCGTCAGTCACTCGAGATTCAAACATTCACTGGAGATTAAAACATTCACTCATCAGTCACTGGAGATTCAAACATTCACTGGAGATTAAAACATTCACTCGTCAGTCACTGGAGATTCAAACATTCACTCGTCATTCACTCGAGATTCAAACATTCACTCATCAGTCACTGGAGATTCAAACATTCACTCGTCATTCACTGGAGATTCAAACATTCACTCGTCAGTCACTCGAGATTCAAACATTCACTGGAGATTAAAACATTCACTCGTCAGTCACTGGAGATTGAAACATTCACTCATCAGTCACTGGAGATTGAAACATTCACTCGAGATTCAAACATTCACTCGTCAGTCACTCGAGATTCAAACATTCACTCGTCAGTCACTGGAGATTCAAACATTCACTCGTCATTCACTGGAGATTAAAACATTCACTCATCAGTCACTGGAGATTCAAAAATTCACTCATCAGTCACTGGAGATTGAAACATTCACTCATCAGTCACTGGAGATTGAAACATTCACTCATCAGTCACTGGAGATTGAAACATTCACTCGAGATTCAAACATTCACTCGTCAGTCACTCGAGATTCAAACATTCACTCATCAGTCACTGGAGATTCAAACATTCACTCGTCATTCACTGGAGATTAAAACATTCACTCATCAGTCACTGGAGATTCAAACATTTACTCGTCATTCACTCGAGATTCAAACATTCACTCGTCAGTCACTCGAGATTCAATCATTCACTGGAGATTCAAACATTCACTCGTCAGTCACTCGAGATTCAAACATTCACTGGAGATTAAACTGGAGATTCAAACATTCACTCGAGATTCAAACATTCACTCGTCATTCACTGGAGATTCAAACATTCACTTGTCAGTCACTCGAGATTCAAACATTCACTGGAGATTAAAACATTCACTCATCAGTCACTGGAGATTCAAACATTCACTCGTCATTCACTCGAGATTCAAACATTCACTCGTCATTCACTGGAGATTCAAACATTCACTGGAGATTAAAACATTCACTCATCAGTCACTGGAGATTCAAACATTCACTTGTCAGTCATTCGAGATTCAAACATTCACTGGAGATTAAAACATTCACTCATCAGTCACTGGAGATTCAAACATTCACTCGAGATTCAAACATTCACTCGTCATTCACTGGAGATTCAAACATTCACTCATCAGTCACTGGAGATTCAAACATTCACTCGAGATTCAAACATTCACTCGTCATTCACTGGAGATTAAAACATTCACTGGAGATTAAAACATTCACTCATCAGTCACTGGAGATTCAAACATTCACTCGAGATTCAAACATTCACTCGTCATTCACTGGAGATTCAAACATTCACTGGAGATTAAAACATTCACTCATCAGTCACTGGAGATTCAAACATTCACTCGAGATTCAAACATTCACTCGTCATTCACTGGAGATTCAAACATTCACTGGAGATTCAAACATTCACTCGTCAGTCACTCGAGATTCAAACATTCACTGGAGATTAAAACATTCACTCATCAGTCACTGGAGATTCAAACATTCACTGGAGATTAAAACATTCACTCGTCAGTCACTGGAGATTCAAACATTCACTCGTCATTCACTCGAGATTCAAACATTCACTCATCAGTCACTGGAGATTCAAACATTCACTCGTCATTCACTCGAGATTCAAACATTCACTCGTCAGTCACTCGAGATTCAAACATTCACTGGAGATTAAAACATTCACTCATCAGTCACTGGAGATTCAAACATTCACTCGTCATTCACTGGAGATTAAAACATTCACTCATCAGTCACTGGAGATTGAAACATTCACTCATCAGTCACTGGAGATTGAAACATTCACTCGAGATTCAAACATTCACTCGTCAGTCACTCGAGATTCAAACATTCACTCGTCAGTCACTGGAGATTCAAACATTCACTCGTCAGTCACTGGAGATTAAAACATTCACTCATCAGTCACTGGAGATTCAAAAATTCACTCATCAGTCACTGGAGATTGAAACATTCACTCATCAGTCACTGGAGATTGAAACATTCACTCGAGATTCAAACATTCACTCGTCAGTCACTCGAGATTCAAACATTCACTCATCAGTCACTGGAGATTCAAACATTCACTCGTCATTCACTGGAGATTAAAACATTCACTCATCAGTCACTGGAGATTCAAACATTCACTCGTCATTCACTCGAGATTCAAACATTCACTCGTCAGTCACTCGAGATTCAATCATTCACTGGAGATTCAAACATTCACTCGTCAGTCACTCGAGATTCAAACATTCACTGGAGATTAAAACATTCACTCGTCAGTCACTGGAGATTCAAACATTCACTGGAGATTAAAACATTCACTGGAGATTAAAACATTCACTCATCAGTCACTGGAGATTCAAACATTCACTCGTCATTCACTGGAGATTCAAACATTCACTCATCATTCACTGGAGATTCAAACATTCACTAGAGATTCAAACATTCACTGGAGATTCAAACATTCACTCGTCAGTCACTGGAGATTCAAACATTCACTAGTCAGTCATTCGAGATTCAAACATTCATTTGTCAGTCACTGGAGATTCAAACATTCACTCGTCAGTCATTCGAGATTCAAACATTCACTCGTCAGTCACTGGAGATTCAAACATTCACTCGTCATTCACTGGAGATTCAAACATTCACTGGAGATTCAAACATTCACTCGTCAGTCACTGGAGATTAAAACATTCACTCATCAGTCACTGGAGATTCAAACATTCACTCGTCATTCACTGGAGATTCAAACATTCACTAGTCAGTCACTGGA